GATCAACCCCTCAGAGCGTGGCTTTCTCTCAAAACGCTCCTGCGTTTCATCTCACCTATAATTTCTCGATCAAGTCACAACTATAATTGACAGAGGAATGGCAATTATTATAATTCTGTTGGACATGCAAAAGGCGTTCGACCGCATGCCACATATGCCACTGCTGTCTGCTATAGAGCAATATGGAATTGGAAATCCTCTGCTTAACTGGTTCGACGCGTACCTAAACGGTCGAACTCAGGTAGTTAAGATGGGCCAACAACATTCTACACCGAAACCAATAACCAGCGGTGTCTTCCAGGGAAGTGTGCTCGGACCACTACTTTTCCTAACCTACGTAGACAATATATGTGACCCGATCAAATACGGACACCCATCTCTGTTTGCAGATGACGCCAAACTGGTTTACTCATTTCATCCAGACCAACTACATATATGTTTGGGAAACATCTGTAGAGACCTATCCGCACTAAATGTAGTTGGTGAGTGTTTATTAATGAAGTTCTCTGCACTGAAATTCCAAGTACCTAGGTATAGATACTGCATCCCAGAAAGCTCCATTATACTTGCTGGAAACCTGATCCCAACGTCTGATTCAGTTCGGGACTTTAGAACTAGGTACTCCAACACTTTCATTTTCTCCGACCATGTACTTTATCAGGTTGCGAAAGCAAGGCAGTTATGAGGATATATCACCAGAACTTTCTCCCTACCTAAAGCATGACTTGAGTCATCCAATACAATAGAATGACTGACTCTGGAATACTGTATTATCGTTCACAGCTAATTGAGAAAAAAACGGCTCTGGAAAATGTCCAACGATCATTTACCAAGCTGGTCATGGGGCGCTGCTCAAACCTGACTTATTATGATCGCTGTCGAGAACTCCAACTGGATCCTCTTTGGTTGAGACGCTTAAATAACAACCTCGTTCATTTTTACAACATAATAAACCAAAGAATTTACGCAGACAGTACCGCACTTAAACTACGAAAGACTGCAGTCTACTCCACACATAATGGCGGCTATTTGATACGCACAAACCTTTAAGGTCATAAAAGTCGGTCGAATTTCTTCTTAGTGAGACACACTGATCTGTGGAACCAACTAACCTTACAGATACGTATGTGTATAAGCCATGTCAGGTTTCGAAATTTCCTTCAGACCTTCCTCACTATACCAAATGTGTTGAAGATATTTGACTCACAGCAAGCTCTAGAAACATTGACAGAAGCTGGTATATAAAAACATATGAGCAGATATTCGCTTACA